TTCACTTGAAAACAACCCAGAAAGGCTAAATTTGGGTGCTAACTGGAATCATTTACAAAGACACAACAATCTAGGCAAAGTTCTCAGGCTTTCCTTATATTTGGCTTTGTATTACTGTTATTACTTCTGGCAGTTTTCTATAATTCAAGAAGTTTTTTTAATTGTAGAGAGCTAGTAAAAGTTATGAATACATTTATATATTTAACCTTACATTTTGGAAGATATTTCACTTTATACACTATATCTTCAGCATATCTAATATTTTCTATTTTCAGTGATCACACATTGAACAAAGAAGCATGTTCCTGCAGTTTAATCCAATAAAGTAAATTTCCCACACCATACACCTGTCCACCCACTTCCCCAGGGCAGCAGGTAAAATGCTCTTTCTTTCCTGTACCCACAGCAATATTCTAAACTTCTATTTTTAAACATCCTAAAACTGAGAAAAATGAATATTCATATATGTATATATTAGTGACTTCTAGAGGTTGCAAGAATTATGCCCTCTATTCACGACTATGATACAGGGCTTCCCTGGTGACTCAGTAGTAAAGAGCCTGCTTGCAATGCAGTAGATGCGGCAGGAGCCTCGGGTTCAATTCCTGGATTAGGAGGATCCCCTGGAGAAGGCAATGGCAACCAACTCCTGTGTTCTTGCCTGGGAAATCCCATGGATAGCCCATGGGGTTTTAAGAGTCGGACACGACTCAGCAACTAAACAACAACAATACATGACAAAAAGCTTACTCTAAGATCTGGACCTGTTGGTACAGATCATCAGAACTTGCTTAATAATCCAGGTGGTGGATTTAAAGTTAATATTGGCCCATTATCTTCATCCAGGTGATTTCTCTTCCATAGATACCAATTTCATTCTAACCCTTGCCAAACATCATGAAGTATAGGCATTTGATTGTAAGAAGATAGGAAAGCTAGTATAGATAAATTTATCATAAATTTATCACCACTGCTAAAAGAAGCCAACAGAAAAAGGGATGCCCTATTAACTAGGGACCAGAGTCATAGTACCTGAGCATCTTTATGCAGGTGACAGAATATAGGAAAGTGATTAAGATCAAGTCTATATAATCTTTATAAACAATGATTTATATGATTTCTAGAAATAAGATATTTTGCCTAACACCAAATTTCTTCATATGGAAATCAACAGTGGTGTCTCAGTATTAGAATTCAGATTTGTCTAACAAAACTTCTCATTTAAGTTTTATTTGAAAGCCTTTAGGTTTAGAAAAGGTTATTTTCCAAATAAAATGTTTAATTAGTGTATAGTGTAGAAAACCAAAGTAGTTGCTCTTGGCCTCTTCTTGACTCAGATTTAGGGAAAAATTAGAATAAAGAATGCCCCATTGAAAAATATCAACTATTAAAAGTTATATACAGTAATAAAGACTATTTTCTCTTTAATTACCCCAAATCTTTTAAGCTTAAGCCTCTTTAGTAGAAATTCTCTCATCTAAAAGCCTTGAGAAGGTGCATGTCAGAAAATGAATGACTATTTTAAATGGGCAATCAAGTAGAGACAGGATTTTTCATGGATAATATGAATTTAAGAGAGAGGAAGAGGTCAAGGAATCTGATTTCAGGCAGGAAAGTTTAGCAAAGCAGACTTTTGAAGATTTCACAAAAAACTAGTCAGTGAGGATCAGATACACATAAGCAAATTCTTTGGGCTCCATAGGTTAAGATCAGCCATGGAAACAAACTCTTTCACCATTTTGTTGAGTGATCTGCAGTGCAAAAATGAAACTGGATAAAAATATAAGTAAATTATTTATAATACAGAACATTTTCCAGCTTTAGATTCTGAAGTATAACTTTTTACACATATTTAATGTAAAATAATTTTTAAAATTACAAATCAACACACATTCACTGTGGAAAAACCAAAACATAATAAAGGTAGATATAACTAATGTTAACATCTTGGAGGATTAGACATTTATCAGACATGTTTTCCTATAACTGTCCACATATTTTGTAATAAAACTAAACAGAATATACTATTATAGGCTATTGTGTAATTTGTCATGAACATCTTTCCATGGCACTGAGTAGATGTTTAGATATTCTTATTAATGCTTCCTGCAATTATTACAGACTTCTAGGTTCTGCCCATTTTTTTTTTTCTTTTATTAATAGCATGACCACGAATAGGCTGGCACCAAAAACTTTATTCATAGCCATGATTATTTTCTTAGGATGAATCTCCGGGAGTAAAATATCCTAGTCAAATAATCTATGTCAATTTTTTTGCCATCAGAGTCAAATCGCCCTGCAGAAAGGCTAACATGCATCAGAAACAAATCAGTATGGATAATTCTCCACAAACTAAAAATACTTTTAAAAACTTGACCAACGTAATATGAGGAAATGAATCTCACTGTAATTTTTATTTGCATTTGTTTGGAGTCAAACATGAAAGTCATTTTAGATGGCTCCAAGAATATCTTGGGTTAGTGAACAAATACTTTACTGGAAGTAGATAACACCTACTGAATCTTCAATCCTAAAATTCTTAATTTTCCATGGGTTATCAGAACATTTAATATTTAAGTTTTAAATTTTCATTAATCAGCTATGTGTCTTGCTTTTGCTGAAATCCCTAAAGGTTTGCTATTTTGAATGAAATAACTAGATAATGGAAGGAACTCTTTATTTTTCCATGTAGAGGTTTTGATGTGGTTTGGACTTAGCCAAAGTTGCCTTTCAAAAATCTTAAAGTATTTTTTGGTATTGAAGTCATATTTTTTCCATATTCAAAATTTCCATGCATTTCAAAAATTATGGTGCTAGAATCACAGAACTTTATTGGCATTAGTCACATCTAAATAATATTTAAAAACATCTTGCTGTTTGGCATCATGTAGATCCTTTTCCCTTTCTCAGTATCCCCGACTCCCCCAAAAGAGAAACATAAGAGATTTCACACAGTTACATATGGTAACTATCTGGAGCAAACTGAACTGAGGTGCTAACATTGGCCAGCATAATCCACAAGAGGAATCAACACCTAAGCCAGAGAGAAAAAGACTCTCGAAGCTTCATCTACATACCACCACTCCCTCTAATCCTCTACAGAAAATATTCCTCAGATTGTTTGATATGCAATCCATTTTGTACTCAACAATATGCCAATGTTTGCAAAGGGGAGAAAGCATGGAATTTAAGCCTTTGCTTTAAGTTCCATTCTTCAGAAGACAAACTCATAGGAAAAATAAATAGACTGATAAACCAATCAAATCAATTAACCAGAGCTATTAACATTTTCTGCTTTGCCTGAAGTTACTGAACACTTTCAGCTAGGAAGGGGTGCAAGTCAAAGTAACTAATGGTTCTTTGTTGTTGTTTGGTCACTAAGTTGTGTCCGACTCTTTTTTTGACCCCCATAGACTGTAGCCTGCCAGGCTCCTCTGTTCATGGGATTTCCTAGGCAAGAATACTCGAATGGGTTACCATTTTCTCCTCCAGGGGATCTTCCCAGCCCAGGGATCGAACCCTTGTACCCCACGTTGACAGGTAGGTTTCTTATCACTGAGACATCAGGGAAGTCCCTAATGGTTGTTACAAATCTATAGAAGTAAAGAAAATGTTCTTTTTAAAAATCACAGAATCAATACTGATCCCAGCTGACAAGTGGTCAAACACAATAGATTCAGGTGAAAAATAAAAGGTGACAATTAAAGGCCATTCACTGATTTACTACTGGGTTTCACAATAATTCAAGATTAGCTGTCCATAAAGTATTATGAAGAGGAAACTGGGGGGGGGGGGGGAGGAAAGGAATACCCTCCCCAGAGAGCAGTAGGAGCCTCAGTGAGCTTATCTGCAAAATGGGGGTATTAGAATAGATGACCCTCCTGTTAGGAACTCTGGTGGACCCAAAACATCTATTCCTTTATGACAATGGAAGTGTTGAAGGATCTAGAGTTGAAAGGAAAAACGAGAGAACAGACCTGTGGAAAAGGCAGCTTAAATAATCATAATCATGCCTATACTACAGCAGAGAATTAGAGAGAACCGAAGTGGTGTCTCAATTCAAAGTAACTACTTTTTAATAAAGTGTTTTCTGGATCACATTCTTTATGAAAATAGCCACTTAAGCAGCTTTAGAATAAAAAGACCTAAAATGTGATTTTAATTACAATGATTTTCATAAGTAGACACATTTTACCCACTAACAAGCAGAAGAATTTATTAACTTACCATTTGTCCTCTAGAGTAAATTCTCCAACTGAAGAAAAGAAACTAAGCTTACATTTTATCCTCCCTTTCTTTTCCAAATTACAGGTCATTTATGTAATACTGAAACATAAAAAAAGCTGCTAATATGCTAAGAAATAAAAGGACTGCTTCTTCATAAAAATACAGTGTAGTTTTCTTTTTCCATGTGAAGTTATTTAAAAAACCAAGAGCTTCCAATATTTTACAAACATTCTTTTATGACACCTTGAGTCTGTGAGCTTGTACCAGAAATATATAGTGTTATCATTAGTGAATAACACTCAATATGCCATTTCTTTCAAAGGCACAATGTCAAAAGTACTTACAGACTTTAAAAATTGTTTTAAAGTATAAACAATGTCACAGGTGGTTGCTATATATCAATACTAGGGGAAAAGAGTGTTTTGAGTATTATGTTAAATTTTAGTGTCAATGAGCACAGAAAAAAGCAATGCTGCTATTTGAGGTCATTATATTTCCAGCAGTCTGAAGACACTGAGACTTATTAAAATAATGATCTGAGGCACTTTGCCTAGCTTTTTCTTTTGGGAATCTTCAATTTATGTGACATATTTAAATAAATGGGAGTTAACTCTTTATTTGCTTTGGAGATCAGATGAGAAATCACTCTTGAAAATTGTAAAAAAGAAAAATGTAGCCGACTACATACTATATTGCCTTATTTCTACCTGCCATCAGGTGCTGGAAATATTAAAGGGTGATTTTCTCCAGCCTTTCTAGTTAACAGGACTCACCTGCCCTGCAGCTTGCCAGGTGAAATTCATGGAATGGATATTGACAGGAATAGCTGGCATTCTCTGCTGTGCTCTTCTGAAGTCATGTGTAAAGGGGGCCATTTTCCCCTCTGAAACAATCAAGATATCTTCTTCAAGTCCTGGTTTAAAACACACACACACACACAAAAATAAATCTATCAAACTAGCTGAACTTAGAAGAATCCAAATCAGAACTTGCGTGCCAAAAGAACACCGAAGAATTAGTAATGGGTCGTTTCTTTTCACAAAGCACCTGCCCTCAAGTACCAATTAATATTCCTGTGGATGATAAGAATGATAGCAAAGACGTGTGCTTTCAGTGAAATGGAGTGAACTGTGGAGCAAACCGATACCAACAAATGCTCGGTCCACTGAAGCTGGATTGTAGAAACCAACAACAGCATGATCAGAACATTAGAACAGCTTAAATTTATGGAGAGAAGAGTTTAAACTCTTAGATGGAAAAGCGATATTCCATAGGATCGCAGAGTCCGACACGACCGAAGAGACTTAGCAAGCACGTAGCTAGCTAAAAAGGGGACAATCTTCCTTGGAAATTAAGTTTTAAAAACATTCTAAATGCATGTATCTCTCCTTTAAGAGAAGAGCTGGAGGGAGTGAAGACCCAGGCATTTGGGAACAAGCGTCCGCGAAACCATACCTATGAGCACTCTCGCCTGGTGAGCGTCGATCCACAGGTACAGGCTCTCGGGCTGCTGCCCGACCTCCGCTCGCAGCACCAGCAGGCACCGGAGGATGCTCCAGAGCCAGAGCGCGCCGGCAGGGAAGGCGCTTTTCCGGGCCATGCTACTCCGGACCTCCGGGGTCGTGGTTCTCGCAGCTGAAACTCCTCCCGTACCTACCCAACCTGCCGCCCTTAGGTTGTCTCCCAGCGCGGGCAGTTCCCCGCGTAGACGGCTGGGCGTGTAGCCTCTTGGCTCTGGGACGCGGGAGCCTGGGTGAGCCGGCGGAGGAGTAGCACGACGGAGAACTGGCGAGACCGGGACACGGGAAGGGGGCGTAGGTGGGAGAGGAGGGCGCGGAGGCGCAAGACTGGCAAAGCGGGAGATGCCAGCCCGCCGAAGGAGACACAACGGTCAGAGGGTTAAATATAGCGGGAGAGTTAGAGCGGGAAGGGCAGGCGCAAGTGAGGTGCGAGCAACGCGTGACGGTGCCCAGTCGGCCGCCACTGGGGGGCGCTGGGGGGACGCGCGGGGGTGGGGCGGCGCGCAGCCCCGGAGGCCGAGTTGCCCCGCCGTGCGCCGCGTGGGAGCAGACGCGGAAAAGGGCGCTCCAAGGGACCCCAGGGACGTCACTTGCCTCTGCCTCTGGCCAGACGAGGCATGAACGGAGGGAAATGCGGTGAGCTGACTTATTACGGCATGACTGAACCCAGATGATGATGATGATGATGAATGATGTTAACTTCCACTGGTACCCCGGTGTTAAATAAAGGCTCAGATTCCTCCACTTTTCCCACTGTCCCACTTCTCCCATATTCCGCCACTGTCATTCTTCACATCTGCAAACACGTGGCGCATTCCCATCCATCTAAAACCTGAGAGTCCAGCTGTCTAGAGGTGCCTGGTTGCTGGCGCTGGGGCGGGCCGGGGCATGGGGCTTTCCCTCCTCGCGTGTCTGACGCCGCGGGGAATGCTTTTCACAGCTGCGGAGGCTCTCCTCCCTGCTCACCGGCAGCACCCTGAGCTCTGACCTGCTGGGGTCGGGCTTCCAAAAGTCATGACCATCTTCATAGTTGGGGGTATATCGAGAAATTTGGAGGCGCGCCGCGCTGGTACTGAAATCGCAGGCGCTTTAGAGCAAGCCAAGGCTCTGGCCTTGCATAGGGGAAGAGTAGTTAGCTGGCAACGGGCTCTGGCCAGCCGCACCCATTAAACCCCAGGAGAGATTTGATTTGCTCCCTGCCAAATCCCTTGGATGTGATGAAAACGGAACCAAAAGGGGGTTTCTTGTTTTATCTTAGATTTCAGACTCAGAAAAAGGTTGTTTACTTCTGTTTTTTTTTTGGCATCCAAAGGCTGCGACAGAAGTCCCAAGGATTGAGCCTGTGGGGTTTGGCGTGTGGGCTCAATCCGCCTGTCAATGCAGGAGAGGCAAGAGGTGGGTTCCAATCCTGGGTCAGGAAGATCCTCTGGAGAAGGAAATGGCAACCCACTCCAGTGTTCTCGCCTGGGAAATCCCATGGACAGAGGAGCCGGGCGGTCAACAGTCCAGGGGGTCACAAAGAATCGGACACTACTGAGCACACACGTACAATGTGGGAGAGCAGACCTGAAGTGGAACAGGTGCATGCATTAAGTATTGGGTCATGAGTTCCTAAAGAATATGCATTTCTAATTATGAAATATTTTCAGTTGTACGACTGTTGATCTTCGAAAAGAACATCAAAGAACTGCTGAAAGTTTTACTTTTATTTTAGGTTTGAAGGATTTGTTAACAAAAGAAACCACTGGTCACACACAATAAACAATTTCAATATTTAATCGAGGATTGACTTCATTTCAATTATACAATCGTTAAAAGAAAAGACAAAGGTCCGTCTAGTCAAAGCTATGGTTTCCCCAGTAGTCATGTATGGATGTGAGAGTTGGACCATAAAGAAAGCTGAGCGCTGAAGAATTGATACTTTTGAACTGTGGTGGTGGAGAAGACTCTTGAGAGTCCCTTGGACTGCAAGGAGATCAAACTAGTCAACTCTAAAGGAAATCAGTCCTGAATATTCACTGAAAGTACTGATGCTGAACTTGAAACTCCAATACTTCGGCCACCTGATGCAAAGAACTGACTCTTTGGAAAAGACCCTGATGCTGGGAAAAAATCGAAGGCAGGAGAAGGGGAGACAGAGGATAAGATGGTTGGATGGTATCACCGACTCAATGGACATGAGTTTGAGCAAGCTCTAGGAGTTGGTACTGGACAGGGAAGCCTGGTGTGCTGCAGTCCATAGGGTAGCAAAGATTTGGACATGGCTGAGCAACTGAACTGAAAAGAAAATAATAAAGAAAAGTAAAAGCACATACTTCACCAAATTGTGCCAACCAACATCCAGGCTTGAACAGCCCTAGGAAGTCCCTCATTAATAGCAATCTGGAGTCCCATTTGGGAAAAGGTCCTGGGCAATGTGCCTACCCCATGGGTGAGACTTCAAATTACAGTTTCCAGGGCTCCCATTTATAATCCTGGGCTACAAACACATCATCGATTTGCACACAAAAGTGCAGCCCTGGTTCTTTTTTAAAACTTCTACAATGCTGTTTGTTTTATCTTGTGAGTCACAGGATTTTGTTAGATCTGGGGTTGGGATGTGGGGATGCTGGCCAGACCCTCAGGAGCTCAAGAATTCCAGACCACCTCCTGTTTTTATCTATAGTGCCTCCTGACCTGTTTTTGCAGGCAGGCACAGAATCCGGGCAGTGCCCAGGCCAGTCAGAACCTGCTCTTCTGCTTCTGAAGCCAGAACAAGACTTCCTCCATTTTAATTTCCCTAACAACAAGAAATCGCCAATGGATTTGAACTTCTTAATTGTAAAAGTACTTTAAGAGCTTACTTAATTCTCACAACACTTTTAAATAGGTAGGTGCTATTATTATTCCCATGTTACTGATGGAGAAACAAGGCTCAAAAAGGTCCAGTAAGTTAGCTGACTGTGGTTACCCAGTGGTAACTATGGTTACTTACCTGGTCAGTGGCAGAGTCAGGGTTCAAATCCCAGTCACTCTGATTTCAAAGCCTATTCTCTTAACCACTATACCTCACGCTGACAAGTAAATCATGATTAAGTCTGTTTGCAACCAAAGCTTCACAGCCATTCTACCTTTACAATAAAATTCTCATCTATTCAAAGATTTCACTATTTTTTATATCAGTGAATATTCATTTATGTAATGCAATCATATATATTTAGCAATATTTAAAGCACTTTAGCATTGTAATGCCAATTTTTAATTGTCCCCCAGTCAAAGATAATAATTTCACAACACAGTGGACATTCTCTTTACTCCAGAAAGGTGCAGATTTAGTTGAAAATATTTTTTTCCCTCAATAGTGGTCTAACCCCTACAGCTCTTGATGTAAGGACGCCCTCTACAGGCTGTTCTAATCAAATAGTAACTGAGAATTATCCTTCGTAAAATTTACTTTTTGGTTAGAGAAAAAGAGGCACTCAATTCCCTCCTACCTCAGCTTCTTCTGAGGGAGGTTCTTCTGCAACAGTTGACTCTGGTACTGGTGATACTGGTAATATATCGAGCTGTAAGGAATTTTTTTTCTCTGTTTACTTCTCCCCAGCAGTGGACACTTAAAGAAATTACATTTTATGACAGAGAAAAGTGTTATTTAAAGATATTGGATTTGCTTTCGTTTGGTTTTTGAAGGGAAGGAAGGAACAGATGTTATATGCCAGTCAGCTATTTTCAAGAGTAAGGGGGTATATTTTTGGGGAAGAAGGTCCATCTAAGATTGAATCAGGCTGGACTCTCTTCTGATGTTACAGAGCACAGAGGCTTTTTCACTCAGAAAAGTCATATTTTAAGATTTCTCTGCTCAAATAAAAATGTAACAATATTTATTGGCACAGGATAAAATTCTGGAAATGATGTGCTAGGAGGTATTACAAGTCAACTTCATTTAGTTTGAAAACTCTACCATTTATTTTCCAGTCCATTATCCTTGCTTTCCTTGTGTAACTCACTCTCATCAATTGCATTTGTGAGCAGCTTCATATATTTGTTCACTCATTTACGCATTCAACATATATTTATTAATATCTATTTTGTGTAAGAAACTGTCCTAGAAGCAACAGGAAAGACAAAGGCAATGAAAAATATGGTGAAACTACATACTCTTATGTAGTTAACACAATCCCAGCCCTCAAAGACCATTGGGGCTATTAAAACAAGTAAGATAAGGACCCAGTAACCATAATTCAAGGCAGAATATAGTGATTATTTGATGAGACACAATCGGAAATTCAAAGGAGAAATCTCCTATCTGGGATTCTGAAAGATTTTTGGTTCCTTCATTCAGAAAACACTGTATGTCTGATGTATGCACTGTACAGCTACAGGGGATAGAAAGGTAAGTTAAAAGAGCCCCGGCTTTTGATCTCAGTCTAACAGGGGAGGTTGTTAATGAACAGTAGGGAAGAATGAGCACTGTGATGGGTTTGTGCACAGGGTAGTCCGGGACTTCAATAAAGCTTCCCTAATGCAGACTGAAACAACAGACTGCTTCCCAATAGGAAAAGGAGTACGTCAAGGCTGTATATTGTCACCCTGCTTATTTAACTTATATGCAGAGTACATCATGAGAAACGCTCGGCTGGAAGAAGCACAAGCTGGAATCAAGATTGCCGGGAGAAATATCAATAACCTCAGATATGCAGATGACACCACCCTTATGGCAGAAAGTGAAGAGGAACTAAAAAGCCTCTTGATGAAAGTGAAAGAGGAGAGTGAAAAAGTTGGCTTAAAGCTCAACATTCAGAAAACTAAGATCATGGCATCTGGTCCCATCACCTCATGGGAAACAGATGGGGAGACAGTGGAAACAGTGTCAGACTTTATTTTTTGGGCTCCAAAATCACTGCAGGTGGTGATTGCAGCCATGAAATTAAAAGACGCTTACTCCTTNGACTCGATGGGCATGAGTTTGAGTAAACTCCGGGAGTTTGTGATGGACAGGGAGGCCTGGTGTGCTGCGATTCATGGGGTCGCAAAGAGTCGGACACGACTGAGCAACTGAACTGAATGCAGACTGGGACGAACGATGTCCAGCAGTAGCAAGAACCAAGAGATGAGAGAAAGAAGGGTACGATCCAGGCCCTGCAGGTACTGATCTGCGGTGTGATGAGCCTGGAGTTGGGGAGAGAGGGGTAGATGAAGCCAAAAGGCTAAATAGGAGTTGGTTACGGAAACTGTGCTGAGAAGAAGTCTCAATAATTTACGGAGACACATTGTCCTCAAGGGCTTCCCCGATGGCTCAGCAGTAAAGAATCTCCCTGCCAATGCAGGAGACTCAGAGACACCGGTTTGATCCCTGTGTCGGGAAGATCCCCTGGAGGAGGGCATGGCAGCCCACTTAAGTATTCTTACCTGGGAATCCCACGGACAGAGG